TTTCTATTTTTTTAAAAATATAATTTTATAATTTGATCACAATATTCGATAATTTATTGTTATACATATATGTATATCAGTTTTATGGAATACAAATGTTAAATCATATTTTTTAAAAAATGCTATATTCTATCAAATTGACATGTTGATAATTTCTTAAAATCAATCGTATAACATTGTAAATATAACGTGCACAGTAAACAACATAAATTGTCATGATGCATGTAATAGTGTTAAAAAACGTATCATAAAAAAAATCGATTGCTATATCATATATTTGAAATGCCTTTTGTAAATAATCTCATAATTCACTAATTAATATACATCTGTTTATAAAAAATAATTTCTGAAATATTTTCTTTAAAATTTAAACCCTAAAGTACATATCACATAATATTTAAAATATTTAAAAATATTAATTCATTATTTTTTATTAATAAACTGTTACTTATATCAGAATTATTAAATATATTAAAATATTAATATTAATTTTAAATATAATTTTTTTTAATACATATATTACATANATTATTATATATATAATATATATTATTATATATTATTAATATATAATTAAATATTTTTCACATAATAGATGTATTCAATACATTATTTATAATATATTTATAAAATTATTATTTTAAGTTAAAATCTTTTTCCAATATCATTTCGTTTTTAAAAATTACATTTTGAATAATAAATAATACATTATATTTAGTATTTTTTAAGTTCTTATTTTTTCTAAAATGTTCCATAATAAACCGCGTTAATGTGATAAATTTCACATAAATAATAAAGTTATATAATAAAATAATTTTGTATATAATCTTTTTCATATTAATATATATTATATAATTTTTTGGAATAAATTATAAAATACATACACAACATTTTTCTATGTAAAAGCTTTATTTTATTTATTATTAGCAAATTCATTCATGAGAACATTAACATAAATGTTAGTGATTTTTTTATCGCTAAATTGTAAAATAGTAGTAAATTATAATTTAATTTTTCCAGTATAACAAATTATAAGAAAAAAGAATAAATAATATATTTTAATATTATTCTTCCAATTCACCAGATTCCATTGCATCGCGATATGATTTATCCTTTGATCGTTCTGGATCTAATTTGATCATATCATCAATTCTAAGAATTGTTATCGCTGCTTCCGTGGCAAATTTCAGAGATTTTATTTTTGAAATAGCTGGTTCCAATACACCAGCTTTTTTATTATCTTTAATAGTACCTTCGAGTAAATCCAGACCAACCCTACAAAATATTATAATATAATTAATATAATATTATATTTCCTATATGAAAGAAATTTTAATCATTTTTTATTAAAAAATATTACCATTTTAAATCTGCAAGATCTGCTTTCGTTTGACTGGAATTATGATAAGCACGTAATTTAGCAACAAGATCCGTAGCATCTTGTGCTGCATTAACAGCTAATGTTTTTGGTATAACCAATAATGATCTTGCAAATTCAGCAATAGCTAATTGTTCTCGAGAACTCTATAAAATATAAAATATAAAATATTTTAATACAAAAATAATTTAATAATTTACAACATTATAAGAAAACTTACAAGTGATGTAGCAAAATTTTCTAAATAAATTGAAAGTGCTGCTTCAACACAACCACCTCCTGCAACCACACTTTTACTCTCTAAAACTCGTTTTACTGCACATAATGCATCATGCACAGATCGTTCCATTTCATCACAGTAATAATCATTTGGTCCTCTTAATATCATGGAACTTGCTGTTCTTGCTTTTGGTCTATTATAATAATATAAATTTAATTTCAATTTTAATTATATCATCTGTATCAAATAATAAATAATCTTAAAAAACGAACCCTTTAATAAGAATGAGCTCATCATCACATATCATTTCTTGTACTACTTCAGCAGCTTCTCCAAGAAAACTTGAATCAAAACTTTCCTCTCCTTCCATATTAGTTAAAGAAGTAAGAAATTGTGCACCTGTAGCTTTTGCAATTCTTTTCAAATCTGCTTTTTTACATCTACGAACTGCCATTGCTTTAGCTTCTATAAAATACTAAACAAATTAAAAATTTATATATAATTTTATTATCTTTTTAAAATAAGAAAAAATAATAATATATATATCTTATGTATAATAATATTTAATATACCTTTAAACAAAGATCATCAATTCCTCCAGATACAAGAACAACATTTGTACCTGCTGAGAGAATTTTTTGTATACGTTCTTTTGTAATATCTGCTTCACGTTGGCGTACTGCTTCTAGTTTTTCAGGATCTGTGATTAGTACTTCAACACCTAATTTCATTTTTGTTTTTTGTAAAGAGAAATCTAAACATGCAATTTTTGCGTTCATTATTCTTTTAGACATTGCTTGAGAAGCTACAGTGCAATTCAATGCATAACCTTGCACTAATACAGATTCTCTAACACTCTTTCCATGAGCTTTTAAAACATTAACTGCTTTCACAGGATATATAAATCCTCCTTTTCCATCACTAACTTTTACTGCATTTGCAGCATCTACGACCATATTTCCAAAGAAATCAGCATCACTAAATTTTATTAAGGAAGTGATGATAATAATAATAGTATAAAATAGAAATAAATAAAATACACATATTTAATTTTTTTATATGATAGAATAAAAAAAAGGATACGCTCCAATGATTTTACTGGACATTGAAGTTTTTGCTACATTAACTAAACAATCTCTTCCAAGCTCATCTACACCAACTGTTAAATGTTCTTGAATATATTTACAAGCTTCTCTAAAATATAAGTGATATAATATTTTTACTATTATATAAAATGTAAATATATAAAATATTTTTATTTTATTTTATTATTTAAGAATATTTATTTCTTTATCTTTAATAAATTTTAAAAATAAATTGATAATTATTTACTTGCAAGCAAGCCTGTAACCACTAATTACAGATGTTGGATGAATTTTTTGTTTTACAAGTTCATCAGCATTTTTTAATAATTCAGCTGCCACTATTACCTGTTTAAATAATTTATTATCTTATTTAAAAATAATATATTTAAATACAATAAATTAAATAAACTTACAACTGAAGTAGTTCCATCTCCAACTTCTTCATCTTGTAGTTGTGCTAGTTCTACTAAAACTCTTGCAGCTGGATGTTCAACTTCTAATAAACGTAAAATAGTTGCTCCATCATTTGTAACAGTAACATCCTACAATATTAATTCAAACATATAAAATACAAATTTAAAAAATAATTTAATTAATTTTTATATAGATATATTTTACAAAAATGTTTACATACACCAATATCATCTACGAGCATTTTATCCAAACCAACAGGACCCAAAGAACTCTTTACTATATTAGCAATTGCACAAGCAGCCATGACTAGAAAACAAAAAAATAAATAAAAAAATAAAATAACTATACTCAATATGCAAAATTTATATATTTCAATATATAAATTCAATAAAATATATATTATAAAATCACATTGAAATTTATATTTGAATTAAATTTTTTTAAAAAAATAATTTATAAATATTGAAATTCTATTAAAAAAAATAATTTAAATATTATTTTAATGTGTTATAAATAATTATCAATATTAATATTAATATTATATTACTTACATTGCATAAAAAAGTAAAAAATTATAAATATAAATTATTTTATAATAATAATTTCATATAGTTAAAAATTTTAATAAAAATAAAATTATTATATAAAATAAAAAATCTGTATTTCATATAAAGATTACATAAAATATAACCAAATTCTTATACAAAATGAATAACTAACATACCATTTTGTGTTCTTACGGGAGCCCCGGATTGTCGAACACCACCAACAACTAAAGGACTAGCAACAGTTGACATTTTGCAATATTTTTTTTTACTTCAATTAACAGTATAATTATACAGGAATAAAAATTTCAATTGCCGATAGAAATACTACCATAAAATTATCCGCGTGTGTATACCATTGATAATAATGATGATCAATGCCTACACCAACTTTCCTTTTAAAGATAATCTCAATATTATTTCCTATTGGTTGAATTATTTTGTATTAGTATTTAATTGGACAAAAAATTTTTTTTCTTTTTATTATTTTTTAGAAAATAATAAATTCATTCGTTTAATATATATTATAAATTTTAAAACAAAATAAATATTTATTTGTGATGCAACTGAATGAAATCCTTTAATACATATCCAAATTATAAATTAAAATATAGGCTAAATTTAAGTTTTAAGATCTTTATTTCGATCAATAAAATTTTTAAATTTGATTAAATTAATTTTTAATATTTTATTTATGTACAAAATTCGAAAATAATTAATGTTCAAAAATATTTGTATGCAAAATTGCAAATTTTTGAAGTTTTTAAAAATTATATTGAATTTTTATTCAAACTGATTGAAACATTAATCAGCATCAAATTCAAATAATTTTTCGGTTAAAGAAAGAAAATTTTTTTTACAATTTGATTGGATAATAAAAATACCAGCGGAATTTACATTCTCTATCAATAAAAAATTTTATATGATTATTATAAAATGATATATTAATTTTTTACAATTAATTTAATATATAATTATTTATTATTATTTATTTAATAAAAAAATTATTATCATAAATGTTTCTATAACTAATATCTATAATCGCAGAGATATTATCCTCTTCATATTTAATTCTTAGAATATTGGTTTTAAATTTGATCCAAATTTTCAATTATTATATTAGATTCGAATTGAATTTATATAATACAGTTTGTATTTCTTTGTCTCACAAATATTTTGAATTTGACACGCCCTGGTCTTTTATTGTTGAATTAGAATCCGATTATCGAATTAAATAAAAAATCAACATGGCGTTATAATATATAACGTACAAAAACTTGCAATTATATAAAAATATATAAGTTTAAAAATATAATATCAAACTTCAACTTCAACTTTATATTTAAAATAAAAATTTATAAATATATTCCATTTTTACAAAAATAAGTGGTCGATCTGATAAAAATTATAAAGTAAGCATATATTACAATATCAATTCTGATATTAAGATTTTGTTAATTAACAATTGAAGCATATATATCATATGATTCGATTTGTTTATTTCTAGTGACTTGACTTTATAAATTTATAAAAATAAATAGTGAATAGAACTAATGATTATAAATATTTAATAATTTTGTTTAAATATCTTTTCTTTATATCTATCATTTCTTTAAAATTGAAAAAATTGATATATTTAATAATTATTTTTATATAAATTTTAGATATGATACTCTTAACACAATTATTTACTTGCACTAAAAATTCTAAATTTCTCGTGAAAAATACTACTACTACTAATTTAGGTGTGTATAAAGTAAATGTTTTCTTAATTTTTAATTTTTAATTTTTTTTTATATAGTAATCTTTATTCTTAATTTTTTTTATAATAAAAAATGATAAATATTTTAAATTCATATAAAAAATATATGTTATTTGTTTATATAATAATTTTTTCAAGTTTTATGAATTTTTAATAGCATGTGTGAGATATGCATCAAAGAAAGCTAGTAGTAGTACACGTAATGCACCTATTCGCACAAGACCAAAACATAGAGGATGGAGAGTACAAGATGGACATTGTGTTAAAGAATCTACAATATTAGCTACACAACTTAAACCTAGATTTCATCCAGGATTATATGTAAGTATAATTGTAATTTTATTTGTATGTAATGATCATTTTGTAACATGTTCAAATATTTTTATTGAAATATATATAAATTTATTTCATAGGTTGGTTTTGGTAAAAATGGTACATTATATGCTTTAGAAAGTGGAAAAGTAATGATTACCTGTGAAAAGATTAATCCAAATATGTCTCATTCTTGGGCTAAGCTGAATTATGCAGGCAGAGAAAATAGTGTTATATATAAAAAACATTTTAATATTATTCCTGAATCACAACATAATAGATTTGTATTGATTGATACTTTTTAAGTGAAAATACGTATTGTATTATTTGAATTAATTGTAAATTAAATACATAATATATAAATAATATAAATACATAAGAAAAAAAATTATTTAATTTTTTTGTAAAATTTAAACATTTTCAAGCATAGTATTTTCTGCCCATTGAAATGATTGATATTTTATATTTTGATTTTCAGAAAAGAAAGCATACACTTGTGTTTTTCGAACATGACAAGCAATTCGACATTGTGCTGAAAGTTCAGTTATTGAAATTTCTTCATTTTCATGTTTACATAAAATTATAAATTGAGAATGAAACATAATAGGATCTCCTATAAAAAAATACGAATTATTAAAATATTTATTTAAATCTACTAATATCATATATATTATAATAAACAATATATATTATAATAATAAAATTTTTTCTTTACCAGGATATACTAAAAAATCTCCTCCAAATTTTTCTCCACTTGATACATAATATCCTTTTTCCCATAAATCTTTATATATTTTATATCGAAGTTGTTGTTTATAATTAGAGGGATATTTCCATTCTACTATTTTTATATCTTTATCTATCCATGGATATACTAAAAACATATTTCTATAAAATATTTAAGAAATAAAATTTTAGATATATATTTATAACTATAATGCATGTATTATTCATGCTATATTATCCTGTATATATTTTATATTTCTTTTCAATACCTGTATGAATCTGAATCAAAGCTTCATTTTTATCTAGTTTAGGTAATTTTGCCATTTCTTCTTCTAATAGATCCTGTCTATTTATTTCAATATTATTTAATGCTGTTTGTAATTTTGGATCTGATAATGATTTTTTTGTTTTCTTCTTCTTTGTTTCTATCCCAAGTATTTTTCGTTTTTTTCCTTCTATAATTCTATCCATCATACCAATTATCTATAATAATATAATTAATATATTTTTTTAACATTTATTTATTTTTTAAATATTTATATATATAAAAGAATACTATTATGTTTTTAAGAAACATTTTTTTAATAACCTGTTTTTGTCTTTCTCTCCTTAAACATTTTTCTTGTTCAACATATAATATATTTCTATATTCTTCAAAAACTTGTTTTAAAGAATCAGATGGTGCTCTTTGAAAACATGAATATTGTATAAGCCTTGCAATTTTTTTTTCAAGTAAAAGAGATACTTCTTCTGGCTGTAAAAGTAATGGAAGACCTAAAAATATATCTTGTCTTGGTTTCTTTGGAAGACAACCTATGAATTCTCCAATTATTCGATAATCTTTTCTAAGTTTTAACCAATCTAGAAACAATATAAAAAATAAAAATTGAGTTTAAAAATAAATTGTTAGTTATATATTACATATACTTCATACAAATTAAAAAATAAGAATGGAATTATTACCTTCTGCACTCCATACATAAACATTGTTTCTTGATAAAATTAAATCTATCATTTCTGAAATATAATTTTTTTTTTAATTTTTATAAATATGTGTAATTATTATTACTTTATATAAATATTTTTTTGTACATAATATTAAAAATATATATTTTTCATATTATAATATTAAATTCATTTTATCACATATTTTTGATTTTAATAATCAAAAATATTAAATACTGATATAAATATATATTAGTAGCAGAAATTAAATATATTTAAATTGATAAATCATTGATATCAAAAATTATTATACATGTATCATTCATACTATATTTTTGAACAAATGTTTTAACAGATCATTTAAATAAAATTTGTATTGTATTATGAAGAAAAGGAATGGATTCAAAATCTCAATTTAGATATATGTGAATATATAAAAAATAATTTTACTTTTGCATTATATACATAATTTTTAAATTAACCGCTTTAAATTAATCAAAAATATATATCAAAACTGTTCATTTTTTATTCGATTAGTGTTTTATAATACAAAAAAATATGTCATTTTATAAATGATTTAAACTTATCATATATTTTGTAAAATTTAATTATATGTAATCAAATCATTCAAAATTTTTAATTCCTTGAACAATCGATAATTTAAATATGAAATATAATATTCTGATAAAATAATAGATTTAGTCTGTATCTTATTGGCTAAATTTATTCTGTACCTCACTTGTAATGATATATCTTTTCTGTATCTTGTCTGTGTTAAAATATTAAACATTAAAACATAGCAAAAATATTTTAATTCAACAGATGTCGCTATTTATCATTTCTGAATAATTATTTTGGTAGAAGGGGAAGGAAGAAGATTGTCGAACATCTGTCACCAAGCGAAGGCTACGTCCGTTTCAGTTCCAAAAACCGCAATACCGTCATGGCACCCGGTTTTATAATTTTTTAAAGAACATCCAATATATTTGTAATTGGAGTCGCATTAAAACAGTGATCTTTTTTTTGTACTCAAATATTTGTTCATATTTGGTAAGTGTTTATATGATATTTATAAATCTTATTTACTAATTGTATAATGAATAAATAAATCGAAATTGAAGGACAAGCCCTTCATTAAAAAGCTGTTCATTTTTGTGACTAACCTTTAAATTCGAAACGTGTATTCTTTTGTTTTTTCAAATGTTCGTTTTTTTTAAAATAATATATGTTTTATCACTATAAAATCTATTTTTCTCGTAATATTTACTTCGGATAATGTTTATCTTTATTATATCTTTATTATATCAATATGTTCTGTAATTGTTTACAGTTAGAAATATATAATTAATAATTAAAATGTTATTAAATAACGGTAAATTTACTTTTCTTATAAAATGATTTACTTAATGTTTAATAAATAATTAATTTTAAATAAAACATTTAATATTTTTATTATTAAAAATACATTTTTTTATTTTATTAGTTTAAAACATTTTTTTTTCTTTGAAATATAATAATATGATATTTTTATTATTACTACAGTATTGGAAACATGAGTTCAGGTAGACCAATTAAATGTGTGGTAGTAGGAGATGGAACAGTAGGAAAAACATGTATGTTAATATCATATACCACTGACAGTTTTCCAGGAGAATATGTTCCTACAGTGTAAGTATTATTTTTATAAATAAAAATAGATTTTAATTATAAATATAATATATATAAATGAAATATATAATATGAATGTAAATTGTTCAGAAAAAATTTAATGTTTTTAAATTTAATATTTATAATTGATCTATATCAATTACATTTTTTTAGGATATTTAATAAAATAATAAAAAAAATACTGTTTATCTTTTTTAAAAAAATAACATTTCATATTATATATTTTTATAGTTATTTATATATTAAAATTTTTTTTAGTAATTTGTTTTTTATATTATGTATCTAATAATTTTAATTTAATGTAAAATTTTTTAAATATAAATTTCATTTATTTTACATAGGTTTGATAATTATTCAGCACCTATGGTTGTGGATGGAATACCTGTTAGTCTTGGACTTTGGGATACAGCAGGTCAAGAAGATTATGACAGGCTTCGTCCACTTTCATATCCACAGACTGATGTTTTTTTAATTTGTTTCTCAGTAACAAGCCCTTCATCCTTTGAAAATGTTACCAGCAAATGGTATCCAGAAATTAAACATCACTGCCCAGATGCTCCAATGATACTTGTTGGAACTAAAATAGACTTACGAGATGATCGTGAAACACTTACTGCCTTAGCTGAACAAGGTCTTAGTGCTATAAAACGTGAACAAGGACAAAAACTGGCAAATAAGGTTGGAATAAATATTATAATATAAAAATAAATAAAATAAATTACAACAACTTTCTAATTAATAATTAATTTCAAATAAAATCTATAGATTCGTGCTGTGAAATATATGGAATGTTCTGCACTTACACAACGTGGTCTAAAACAAGTGTTTGATGAAGCAGTTCGTGCTGTTTTAAGACCTGAACCTCAAAAACGCAGACAGAGAAGATGCATTATGTTATAAACAATAAATAATCAAGATTCAATATAGGTAAAACCATATATAAACTGACAGACTGAAATTAATTTTCTCACAAATAAAAGGGACAAAATATGAATGTTTTGAAAAAGGTAGTAAATCATACATATTAATAAATTTCTCTGGCAGCTATAGTTTATTTCATTAAAAATAAAGTACAATTTATAGCTTGTATTTTTTTACAAGCTATAAAATTAACATAAAATTAAAAACCTAACACAAAAATATATTATTATTTTAAAAGTATTTAATGTTTAATGAAATAAAAATAATTACAAATTTGCATGCATTCAAAATAGTAATTTCATAATTTTATATATATACTAATCATATATTAATCTATGATTATATTTTATTGTTTATTATTTTCTTCATAAAGTAATAATTTAGTATTTTAAATATAGTGACCTAATTAATAAAATAAAATTATATTACAACAATTTTAAATATTAAATTTTAAAATTTTGATTATAAGAGCTGCCAGATTTCTAAATTTTTATACCTATAATAGTAAAAACATTCATTTAGTATATTCATATGATAAATATAACAATCAATATACTAACAATTTTTATAAAATGTAAAATAGCATTATAGAATTATTTAAACAAATAGTGCCATAGCAACGAAAAAAGAAATCAAATCAATGACACAAACATTTTTTATGTCACTTTTAAACATATGTATTTTTTAAATCTCATATTAGAGAACGTAAAAAAAAAGTTGTAAAGGAATTGAAAAATCTCATAAGAAATATTTTGTATTTATCTTAAAATTTTTTATAAATATTGCAATTATAATATTTCTTTACACTCTAACAAAAAAATAATATATTATGCATGAAATACTGCCAACAAATATTCATGTTTTGTGCATAACAAATTTAATTTATATGGCATATTTTTTTGCTAGAATATGAACATTCTTTTTATAATGACATAATACCAAATACATTTTAATGTATTATGTATATATTAATATTTATTTTATTTTGACTGTCTATTGAATAATTATATTCTGAAAAACATTTATTATAGAATATTTTAAATGTTTTACATTTGAAATTGTATTCCTGTTAATAGATGTGGCAGATATAATTTTTAATTGATTATTGCACTGGTGCAATTTGATTAATAAAAGATTCTAAATTATTTTTCATAAAAATTAAAGAAAGAAGAAATGAATCAAAATATATATTGAGTTATGAAGAAAATGTAATACCAGTAACAAACATATGGTGCAAAGTATGCCTATAATACAGAAAATATAGCACAACTTTATTTAAAGAATAATTATAACATTTTTAATCTTCTATTATTATTTTTATAAAATTCATTTATATCAATTTTCATATTTACAAAATTAATAATACATATTATTATAACGAATATATTGTATAGAATAAATATTCTTTTTTTTATATGTAAAATATTTACACACTCATATGTATATTTAGATTAATTATTACTATAAATTTCTTTTTATTATATTATAACATAATTTTCATTTATATTCAATAATATTAAAACACATTTTGATACATATTACATGCTCTCTATAAAAGGATTCAATAAAAAAATAGTGTGATGATGTTTAAAAATATTCCACCATTTGTGAACATGCTATTTTTTTATATTTGGAAAAAAGCTTAGAATATAGAAAAATAGGACGTGCGTGCCATATGCTTACAGATTTATAAAAAAATATTGAATATTATACTTTATTCGTACTTGTACTCAATGTGCATTTTGAGTAAATTAAAAATATGTTAACATATTTAAAACAGGAAAGAATTCCTAATGTAAGTGAGAATGAACTAAGAATAGGCATATTAATGCTTGCTAAGTGTACATACTGTAGCATAGCAGTAACATACTCTAAATTTCAATCAAATTTTAAAAATGCTAAACTTTTCCTTTTATTTTCTTTTCTTTCTTATATATATTATATATCTATTATATATATTTCAAGATATGTACAACCTATTACAATTAATTATATGATTGAAATATAGAGTGTCATAAAATATTTGCAGTAAGCTTTTCATACTTTGTTATACATGCTATAATCTTAAACAAAATAACATTTTTTAATACTTTTTGTTACAATATTTTATAAATTTATGTTTAGTTCCTGCATAAAACAATTGTTTTTTTAATAGTTTAAAAAGCACAATTGAAGACATTATTATTGTTCTAAACAAAAGGAACTAAGCTTAGAAATTTTTTATATTATGTACATAAGTACATAAATGATATATATACATTTATTATATTATGAAATAATCAAATACTAGCAGTATGTTATATAGGAATTGTACGTAAAGTTTGCATTTATTGTAAGTAGTGCATTTATTTTACAGTTATTATATAAAAATAAAATTTATCATATAAAAATTAATTGAAAATAAGAATAAAACAAAGCACAATTTTTTAAATAGTATTTAAATGATATTTAATTTTTAAGATTAATATGAGAAATTTTTTCACAGTATTATAATGTAAATAAAAATTTTAAGCTATTACTCCAAAATTTACTATTTATACCTGAAAATTTTCTTATATACTTAAACGGATATTTATTCGCATTTTATTATAATAAGAATTATTAATTATAACTTTAAGTGAAAAAAAAAATTAAATTCAGGCAGCTAGTATCAAATATGCAAGTAAATTGTTTTTTAATATGTATATATGATATTTTTTATTTATCAAATAGAATTATTGGTAAAAATTTTTAATAATATAATGAATCCATATGAATCCAGGTTGGTAAGATGAATTACACTACTTACAACTTGTGCATTTAATGAAAAATATATAATTTTGATATTCTTCTTTTTTTTTTTTTTCTTTTTTTTTTTTTTATAATAAAAAAGTAACAGTAATAAATGCTACAAACCAAAGTTGAATGTTACTTCTAATGTTACTTATAATAATCTTTATTACATATTATTGCATAGAAAAAATTAATGTATGAAATGTAAAAATATTCTAGTCACCAAAAATCTGATTTTATTTATAAAGGAAATGTGTTTTATTGAAATTTATATTCATTTACATTTAATTAAAAAATATTCTTTATTAAAAAAAAGAAATAATCAAATTAAAATAATAAAATAAAGAATATGAAAGTATTGATCTAATTTAAGATATTATCAATTTAAGTGATGCAGAATAAACCAAACAAGGATAAGAAAACATTAGATTACACTGTATGTACATGTATTAAGTAAATTTAATCACCAGTATATCTTAGAAATAACATTATCTATTTTCTTAAAATTTCTGTAAAATTTCTAATTTCTGTACTAATAAAACAGCACAAGAGGATAATATATTAATATAAATAATATTTTATTTATATTTCATTCATAATTAATAATATTAAATTAAACAATTTATTTAAATTATATTATTATATCATATAAAAATTGAATTTTGAAAAATTAAGTATTCTATTTTCATAAACTCTGAACTCAAAACTCTTTTGCTGTTAGTACAAAACTGAATATAAAGAAAAAAATTAAAAAAAACTTTTAACACTATCCTATTTTCTTAAAAAAAATTCAAATTACAATGTTGAATAATAATCAAAATGTAATTATATAAATGCATGTTTTACATACCACTTGCATTTATATTTTATTTTTATTTATGTGTATTTTGAAAAGAACTTCTTAAAATAAAGTACACAAAATGAAAAATAGTTAATTTTTAATTAAAATCCCATTATAGTTTATTTAATTAATTATAATTTAATTTTTATTTATAGTCATCATAATTATGTTAAAACATTTGAAATTAAAAATCTTTGTTAAATATAATATATTAAAAATTAAATAATAATATAAATAAAATGAATTGTTTATATTATTTATATACAATTGGATTTCTAAATAAATGATTTATATGAAATTATATAAAAATATTTTTTTGATTATTAAAATTTTGAAGATAAAATATAAATAAATTAATATATCATTTCTGCCATAATAATATATATATAATATATTTAAATAAAATAAAGATTTATATTGTAAAAGTATAAAACAAAAAATTTTTATAAATTAATAAACAAAATGTAATTTCAATATAAAAAAAGTAATGTATGATAAATAATATAAGATAAACGAAAAAATGATTTTTTTAAAACATATATTATCTAATTTTTATCTAAAATTTATCTTAAAAATTTTACATCTAATAAATGAAAATGAAATAAATCTTTTATAAAAAGTGATATAATATATTAAAAAATTAATTTATTTAATACATGTTGATTTTGAATTTTTATTTAAAAATAGCTCATTTTATCAATAACAAAAAAAATACTTATAGATTTCTTTTCTGTTAAAAAATTAAATTAAATATAAATATTTAATAAGATACTTAGCTTGGCACTGATAAATTTTAAAATATTTAAAATTGATAAACTTTATATAATATAAAAATAGGTTCATAATCTAACGTGAAATATTGCTACGTACAATATCTAACCTTTTAAAACATTTTTGATTTTAAACGTTTAATATGTTACATTGGATAATTTTTAATGTAATACGAAGAACAGTATGTACAAATACGCAAATATTTTACACATTAAAAAATATATCGGAGTTTAATTCTAAACGTTATAATTTGTATATAAATTATTTATATCCAGAACAAAATTTTATATCTGTAACATTTATAAGATTCAATAGTAAAAAAACGATTTCAAAACAAGTAAGATAATTTTATTATAAATATATTTTAGTACATAATTTATTTTAATATTCAAATATCATATTTTTATTTATATGTTCACAAATTATTAAAATTATATCTTGATAATTGAAGATATATTATTGGTCAAATATTAATTAAATATATGTATATAGAATAAATACAAAGAAAACCAAATAGAAGATAATGATGATGAATATGATAATAATGACAATGATGCAGCTGTTGATGATTATTTAAATACAGAAAAGTCAAAAATAATAGTAACTACAGTACCATCTCTTCGATTAGATATTGTTGCTAAAGCTGGATTTGGAATGTCACGAGCGTATGTTAAATTATTATTTATCAAAATAGTGATTTATATAAATAATTTATTATCATAAGATATTAAAGATCAAAATTATTAAATACAAATGCATAAAATTGAACAAAATTTTAATATGAAATCAATTCTTATATTATTTTATATCAAATAATATAAAATAAAAATTATATAATTTTTTTGTTTTTAGAAAAATGGATAAAGAATTTTATATGAGTAATATACGTGTAAATGGAAAAAAATGTTTTAAAAAAGCAATAAAGGTATTATAACAAAAGTAAAAATATTACATATATGTTAAAACAAAAATATATCATATTTTAATGCAGGTTAAACTTGGAGATGAAATAGATTTTATTCAGAAACGAAGTCCTGATAATCCAAACTATTTAATAATAAATCGATGTATATTATTATCAATTAAGACAGAATCAGAAGAAAATTTTAAAATAAAATTACTTCAAAATAAATCTTTATTAATTGAAGAATATAAAGATAAATGGCATACACAATAATTATAAAACTAATTAAAAATAATTGATTATTAATGACTAATTAAGAAAGTATGCAATTTATTTATGTATAAAATTGATATATAATATATATATGTAATAGATATATAATAAAAAAAGGAAATGTATTAATAATTAATATAATAAATTTATATAAAAATAGAATATATATATGAATAGTATAAATTTCAAACATAATTTTTAATAATAATAATAATAATAATAATAATAATAATATATATATATATATATATATATATATAATGATTCAAAAAGAATTTATTATTTTTCTAAAACAAAAGCTATTCATATTTTATTGAATGTTTATTCATGTTTGTTAATGTATGTTCTATAATTTTATTACACTGAAAAAAATATTCAATTTGAAATTATATTTTACATTTATATAAAATAATATTTAGTATACTTACATAAGCTGTACAAAGTATTCCACTTGAACATAAGTTATTCAAATTTTCTAATATTTTTGTAATATTAGATGTGCATTTAATTTTCTATAAAAGATAGAATGTAAATATGTATGATATGTATGAATAATATATAGATTGATATATAAAATAACAATTAATACGTAATATTTTATTAGTTAAATAAAATACAAAAATACTTACTTCCAAAACATATATTGTATCATCATCATTTAAAAATGGTAAAAATGCAAGTACTAAATGTAATTGCTGACATTGAAAACAATATTTTATGATGTTAGAGAAATTTAATGCATATAAAACTGGACATGAATATAAAAGTTGTAAAGCTTCAATACAATTTTCAATTTGTTCAGAAGTCGGATTCATATCCATTTTTTTGAAAGGTTCTGAAATTATTACTTCCCATCCAAATAAATATCCATTAGAATTTACAATGGTGTTTATATTTTGTACTTGTAATAAAATTATTTTTAATTCATTAATCTGCAAATATAATAAAAATATATTAATTTTTTTTTTTATTACTTTAATGACATATTAATGATATTTACCATTAATAATTTAGCCATTTTAGTTAAATTTTTGTCCCAGAGAGAATATTCATATATTTCAAAATCTATACAAAGTTGTGCAATAATAATCAGGGCTTGTGGCGAATAATTTTGTGTTTTCCATAAAATTTGTATAAGTTCATGTTTAGAACACATTTCAAATGTATTTATACTATATCCTATTCCTAACAATTCCAATTTACTTATATATTTCAAAGATCTCATATAGTTTCTGAAATAGAATTATTTAAAAGTATTATATAAAACAAAATAATAACAATTTTTTAATTTTATTTGATAAATAATATGAAATAATTTAGAAATAAAATATTTACTTAATTGTTTGGTAATCTCGTTTAATTAAATCTTCTAATTTAGCAGTATCAACTATAGATTGTAATACACAAAGAGCTCTATAACGAACTTCTGGACTATAATCTTCATTTTTTTCACTAAAACCTATATTTATAAGAAAGTTAGCTGATAATTCAAGATCTCCATATTCTAAAATATAGCATGCTCTGAAAATAATATGATGTTTAAATATTTACATAATATATGTAAGAAAAAAATACTTCAAATATATTAATATTATGATATACCTCAATAATTTATCATCACAATTTAAATTCGATTCTAAATTTGTCATTACTGGAAATGTTTCTGTTATACTTTGATTAAATTTCATATATTTAGTATCTGGTTGTAACCATTCTTGTAATAATTCTATTCGTAATTTTATCAAATTAATAGAAAATAACTGACTAATTGAACTAACTGCCGAATTTATATCAGGTCTATGATCAATAACACATCGATATCTTTGAGGTATACTTTCATCTGTATATAATTCATAGACTAATTTATTCGGATTTCCGATTAATGACAAATATTTTTTATTGGCCAAACCATGTACATGTAAAATATGTTCCGATGTAAAACGTAAATATTTAACTTTTATTTTCTAGAACAAAAAAGGAAATATTTATGAAAATTAAATTATTATATTTATCAAGATAAAAAAAAACAAAACAAAAAATATACTTCTAACATTCCTTCTTCAAACATCATAGATTTTTTAGCTGATAATTGTGCATACTTATAACATTCTTCAACTGCTGCTACTTGATCAGCTCCTAATAAAAAATGAATTATTTTAATTTATTTTATTTTTAACATATTTTTCTGATAAAATAGTATTATTAATATATAAAATACCTGATGGTGTATGATTTACAACATAATATAATGCTGCAGTGCCATAATATAGTGCATCTGGACCAGTCATTCTTTCTATACATTTTTTTATATGATTTAATAAGCTTTTATTTTTTGAAGAAAGAGACCATTTAGCTATTTTGTGTTTATTTTTCCAAATATGTGTTACTTCACCTTTTATAGCTAAAGTACATATAATATGAGGTTGTAATTTAAGAATAGCAGCAATATCTAACCATTTTTCATAAGTTTTCAAATTTAATTCAGGAGCTGAAATTGTATTAATATTAAGAGATAATTATATACAATTTTGTACCATTTTATTAAATTTCTATTCATTAAACTATTCGTTAAAACAAAATAAATAGAATTTATATTAAAACTTTCAGTATAAGTTGTATTTTTAATATAAGTTTATACTAGCATTACAACTTGCTTTATCAAAAATCGAATAATATAATAATATATAATATATACATTATTAACGAATTATTTAATCTCTAATGAATGCAGATAAAAATATTGGAAATTATTTATATCTAAAAGTTTTCATTTTATAAATTCTACGATATCAGATTTTAAAAATTTTTAATAAAGTAAATAACAAATCTTTAATAAAGTAAATGTAATAAAGAAATTTTACTTATAAGTTTCCATAATTCAATTTTAGGTAAAAAAGGTAACCGCCATTCTGCTATAAATGGTAAGGATGTATATCCTGGATTTAGATGTATCCATTCATCATATTCTATTTGTGTAGGTGGACTAACAAAAATATGATATATATATAATATTTAAATAAACATCAACTTCACAAAATATTATTTAATATTTTAAACATATACTTACCCAGTGCGAATATAATTTTGTAAAAAACATAAATAATTTCTATGTTCAATATTTTTATCTTCTATGAGATCCATAAGAATTATAAATATTTCATAATGATAAAAATTTATCTGAAATAAATTTACAATTTTGAAATATTATATTTATTATAATGTTAATAGAAATAATATTTTTATTCATACTTGTGAAAAAATCATTGTAACCCAATTTTTTAAAGCAACTTTATCCAAGATATAGGCAGTAATAGAATTACATTTTTTATTTAATTGATTTACATCATCTTCATTAATATGTAATTCTAAAAACATAATTATGATATTGAAAATATGAAATGAAATTAATTTTTTAATTATTTTACCTTTTTTTCCATTATAATTGCTTATATTTAATTTTGGATTCCATGTTTTTATTATTGTTTGTAGATAAAGTAATAAACAATCTTGGATATCAAAACCAAAATCAAAACAAAATTCTTGAAATAAAGGAATCAGATCTTCATCATAACTCATAATACGTTGTAATATTTCCCTTTTAGCTACTGAATCACTTGTTAGGATTTCTGTATATATAAATATTATATTTTTTTTATTAAGCGTATGTGTATATGTATCTCAAATATCAGTTAACTAAAAATTCTTGAATTTCAAGTAATTTTCTTTTGCAAAAATTTTTGTTATGACTTTATTAACTTATTTTTGTTATGATTTTATTAAATTATTAACAAAAAATTGGATAATTACGATTAGTCAAACGTTAGATACATGAGAAGCAATGTATTTCTAAGGAAATCTGTTGAATATAACAAATATTTTTTTATTGAAACAAAATCATATCGAATTACATTTTATTTAAGAATAATGAATAATTAATTAATTATCATTTGTATAGAATGAATAAATTGTTCGTTTGATTTCGTACTCCATGAGTCAATATTTTTTAATGATAATTAATAATTTATAAATAATTTTGTTAATAAAATCGTAACAAGAATTTTTGTAAAGAAAAATATTACTTGAAATTATTTTAGAAAATCTTCAGTTAATTGTATTTCTACATTTTCTGGATATTCTATATATGATAAAAGATGAAATAATAAATTGATTTCTACCTTTATATGAAACTAAATATTTAGATAACTTTTGTGCCCAATAATATAATATCTTATTATTTTTAAATGTTTGCAAAGTTTGATTTTTTGTTAAATAAAAATATTCATATCCAAGCATTGTTATTCTTAAATGTCGAGTGTAATCTGATTGAAATCTAAAAAATATTTTTACATTAATTATTATTTTTACATTATATTCACATTAGATACTTACGATTTGCAAATAGAAGAAATCCATTTACATGCTTCAGAATCAGATAACATAAATAAGCATGATAAACTAAGTTGAAGATCAAACATTCGATTATTTATTACTTTTTTAAGTAATATTATTAAAAAATGAAAATATACTAATTTAATTTCTATTAATATATTATCACTTATGTTTGGTATAGCACAAAAACTGAAATATAATGTTTTAATAATTTGCAATAAAATATAATCGCTATGTTCCATTTTTAGTTCCATAATTTTATTAAGCAAATCCTTTATAGGTTCTTCTATATTTGGCTGAAAAATACATACACCCACCCATACACCCACCCACACACACACACACATACACACACACACACACACACATATATATATATATATATATTAAAATATTTGTATTATAAAAACATATATGTATTAATTACCCAATTTTTTTTGTAATTTTGAACATCGTCATTAGTTGTACATATTCGATATTCAATTTCTATAATATAAAATAAAAAATTATTTATATATAAGCTTATTTAAATGTTTATATAATCATATTTATTATAATTATTATTAATAACATTTAAGTTACCAGGTTTTGATATATTCATATAAAATCTTTCTATAGAAATTATATTTCTAAATAATGGTAATAAAAATTCATCAGTTTTAATATTTAGATCCTTATATATCGTATATAATTTCCAGTTTGATCTTGTTATTTCTTCATATTGTACATCCACTGTGTTTATGTTTATAAAGTTTATATTACAACATTTTTGACATAAATTTATCCATATATACAATAATAACATAGATTGTAATTCATCTAAGAAATTTATAAAAATATATATTTTTTTAATAGTGTTTCAAATTATTAATATTTAAATAATTTTCTTACCGTCTAAACATACACATAATGCAGCAGAAATTAAATTCTGAATTGTAATTGTAATATCTGCATTTATTTTAATATGCTGCATTATTAATAAGCATATTTTATATGCATAATAGCATTCATTTGTCATTATATTTAATTGTCCTTTTTCACATCTAAATAAAAATATAAGTTTTAGTTAAAAATAATATTATTGTTTTTTTTCCATAAAGAGATAAAATTCATTTACCTAATAAAATAATTTAATAGTTTTACATTTTTTGACCATTCAATTAATATATATATTGCATGAATTCTTTGTATTTTAAGTAAATCTGCAGCTTGAATAAGTTTTTTATAAATAGTAAATAAATTATTATCTTTTTCCATGTCTACTGTAAATTTATCATTATAATTATTAATTTATATAAATTATTTTAAAATTTATTATTATTAAAATTAAAACTTTAATTATTTAATATTTAAATAAAAAAATATTTTATACCATCACACAATTTTTTAACATAATTTTGTAATATTTTCTTTTTTTTAATTTGATATTCTTCAAATGTTACATCAATTTCGAGATTTTTTTTTAAATAATATATTGATTTTATTTCATCTATACTATTAATAACATTGTTACAATGATATGATTGAGTTTTACATTTTTTTGAAAGTTTTTCTAACTGTAATTTTATCCAACCCAACATCTCAATATGATATATAAGAGATTTAGGTATAATCTGTATAATAAATATAAATATAAATAACATATATGTGAAGAATATAAATTTTTTTTAAATAAAAATTTTAATATTTTAAATTACCTTTAATGTTAAACTAGCTGTTATATAGTTAACAATTTGTATACAACAATATAATAAAACATCATCTTCTAAAAAACTTAATATCTTTGTTACGTTTTCAAAATTCCTATAAAATCAAAAATTTTTTTCATTAATTTTTTTTAATAATTTCTGGAATTGCTACAATTTATATTTTTTATTTAAAAAATCTTACCCTCTAATTAAATAATAATTTACACAAGATGAAAATGCTTTTTTTCTTGAAAATAAATCATTTTTAGTTATTTGTTGAATATCAGAAATCATATTATCATGATTTTCTTTTATTATTCGGTATATTAATTTCTGCAAAAATTTAAACATTAATAAAATATTTAAAACGCAGTTCTTTTTTTTTCTATAAAAAATTAATAAAGTTTACTAACATTATTTATACCAATGCGTTCATATCCATATTTCTTTAAAATAAGCTTAATTGGAACAAAGTTATGTTCTATTCTAATTTGAGATGTTAAAATATGATCAAAATTATAACTTGTTTCTATTAGAGATACAATAGTTGATGTCCATGGAACTACAGCTTTTTTTAATACTTCTAATATTTGCTGTAATTTAGTCTGCAAAATAGACAAATTTATATAAATTATATTATATTTCAACTTAATACATAATTTCTTTAGTTTTATATACCTCTATATCTTGAATTAAATCAATAATAATAACAATTTTTTTTTCCCAGGGAGCTTCCTCTCCTGACCACCAATTTTTAGAATTTTTTAGAGTTTTCTATAAAAACATAATTATTTATCAATATATAATATAATTTTAATAATTTTAATTAAAGCATACCTGTACATATGAAGAAAAAATATAATCACTTTGTAGAGAATTATTCAACATGTATTGTTTAAAAAATGTATTCACAAATTCTAGAATTATATTTATATGTATTTTATCTAATAATATGTATGATACTTCTATAGGATCTCCAATATATGAATTAAGAGATATTATTAATCTACAATTTTTATTTCTTATATTAATTTAATACTTATTTTGAATAATTAAAAAATTGTAATACATATTACCTATAATTAACTTTCAATTTTTGAATATCAGATAATATTTGTATTAAAGAAATAAGCTGTTTTAAATTAGTATCTTTGTTTAAACATTCCTGTTGAAAGTATAAAGATTGATGACTTTCTTGAAATTTCAACAACTTTATAAACTTTTTTGTGAAATCAATTCCAATTTGAGGCCATTCTGAACGATAAGACTGTTCAAATGATTTAACTTTTTTATAACCCCAAACAATAATTTCAGACATTGCATTAGGAATAAATGACAATATACTTGGAATAAAATGTGATAACCACATCCAAAGGGAAAGAAAGGGTATCTTTTCAGGAAGAATTCCAAATATATCCTTTACAATTTCTATAGATATATCTTTCATTATATTTACAAGATGTCTCGTCCAAATTAAAGTAGCTGCTTCCATTTCTCCCTATAATAGAAAATTTAATTCAGAATTTATAATTAAATTCATTATAAGTTTACTTTGTACCAAGCTCAAATGTATTTTATATTCTTCTATTAAATCTGCTCGAGAAAATCTAATCCATTCTTTCATAGTATCTTCATCATAATATTTTAAATTTCTTTGGTATCCCCAAATCATATGAAAAGTTTCTAATTTTTGCAATGTACTATTAATTGAAGAAAGAAGATACAAATAATTATTTTTCTAAAATCAATATATAATAATATATATATAATATAAATATTATTAATATAAAATATAAAAAAATTAATTAAATTTTTTACTTACAGAGATATTTTCTACTATTCTTGAACGTGCATATAAATAAATTTTTTTCATTTGTTTATAATCAGGTAGAAATGCTTTATTACAACATTCTACAATATATTGTACATTTTTTATTTTATCAAATATATTAAGAATCATATCTAATTGAAGAGAATTGGACTTTTCTTTTGTCCAAGGTCCAAATTGTGACAAAAGCAATGCAATCTTTGCATAATAAATAGGATCTGTAGATAAGTTAAATTTTTTTGCAAAAAATTCAGCTGCATCAAATTGTTCTTTTCTTATTAAACGTTGTAATTGATATTCAGGATCACTTTCTGATATAGTTTTTATTCTAACTGTATCTATATAATTATTAGTATCATTATTGGAATCATTAATTCCTTCTAGATATAAAATTACTTCATCACAAGGATCCATAATTTCAACAAGATGTGTTATAGTTGGTATATTTATTTGAAACTTTTTTTGAAAATCTAAATAAAATGAAATAAATATATAATCAATATAATAAAAAAAATTATAAACATATAATTAAATGTATAAAATTGTTATGTTTTTATACCTGGATATGAGAGAACTTGTAACGTATATTCAATGCAATTATTATCAAACATTAACACAAGAATCTGACATAAAGTATTATCATTATTTTCAATAATTACAAAATCTGATACAGGTTTTGAATACACTTTTAGAGCAAGTAAAGTTTGAGGACACATTAAGTTTAATATATAATCTGAACGTAAACATAACATTGCACTAAAATAAAATTATCAAAATTAATATTCATTATTAACAATTAATATTATAACTAAATAAATAAATAATAGTATAATAATAATAAATGAAATAATAAAATAAATAATTTTATTAATTAAAAATTTTATAAATACTTACATGTAATTTTTAAAAAATTTTATTTTTATATAATTATAATGTAATGTATTAAAATTAACATAACATTCATTAGGCCACATAAATAACATATTTGAACATAACATAGCTATTGATATTTCTTTATTTATTAAACTTATAGTAGCATATATTACCTATAAATTTTTTTATTATATTTATGAAAAATCATAAAATAACAAATAAAATTACAATGTATAATGTATGAAATATATTTATATATATATAATATATAAGCATTGAAATACAAATGTAACTTACTTCATCACAGGAAAATCCTTTAAATAACTGTACACATTTAATTTTTTCTATCAATTCTATTAATATATTATTATCAATTTCATTTGTAATAGCTGATTGAATAAGTTTAATATTAAATTTTGATATTCTAAAATATCAAAAATTTAAATTATTTATAAAATTTAATAATAATTATAATATACATAAAAAATTTTAACTTAAATTTGAAATAAATTTTTTTAGAATACATACAATTATTATATATTTACCTATAAATAATTCCATTTTTTGTGGTAAGATATATATTAATATATTCTTTAGATTCATTTTGTAAAAATATTGTTATTATTTTATTTTCAGTTGTTGTAATATTTCTACATATAAAAAAAGAATAATTTTATAAAAGATATAATTTTTAAAAATATAAATATATATAAAACTTACTTTGTAAAGATTATTTGTCCCTTATTTAATAAATGAAGACAATATAACATTCCATTTGATAATGCAACAAATAAAAATATTCCATCATGAGAAATGCAATAACTTGTTATTAATAATTCAAAACTAATATTTAATAATATTTTTTCACATGTTTCATTTTCAAATATAGTGATTGATTTATCAATTAATACACAGACCCTTGAATATTGTATAGATGCTAAAATATTTGGTTCTTGTTCTACCTTATAAATATAAAATATTTTTTATATTTAATATATATATATATATATATATATCATAAAATTTTTTTTTAATATAATCAATGCTTAAGATATAAATATATTAATAAAATAAGAATATTAAATTAATATATAAAATTTAAAGAATAATAATATTTGATTATAATTTAATTATTAAAATACATTTGAAATATGAAATTTCAAAATAATCAGGTATACATTAAAATTCGTTAAAGTTTAAATAAAATTGTAAAGTACCCTTCCATTTGATTGTATAGTTGCAATAGTAGAAGTTTCATATAACGAGCCATTATTTTCAACTATAGTTCTTGTTCCAAAATTTATGGTTTCTTCTTCTTTATTAAAGCCTGAAACCACTTTATTCCACAACGCCATTTTACCCGCGAAATATACGAAATATTTTAGTGGGGAATTTTACCATGCAATACCATACTGTTTTATCAACTTCAGAAGTTATAAATCAATCATTTTGATTGGTTTTTATGAAAACTATATAGTTTATTCAAATTTGCATAAAGATCGAATATTTTGGCTATTTTTTTTAACATACCTACTAATATACACTATATTTACTAACATACATTTATTTACTAATATATACTATATATATGTATTTACAAGTATTAAAGATAATAAATTGTCAAGTTTATATACATAAATATTATAAGTGTATCAAAATCGTTTAAATGCAATTAACTATTATATAATAGTTAATAATATATAATATAATGTGCACATTGTATAGCGATATTTTTTTTGAGTTTTTTGGAGAAATTTTTTTTGGAACTTAACTTTAGTTCTGCAAACATAAAACTTTTAAAAATTTTTTAAAGTTTATTTTTCCGGAAATTTTAACTCTTAAAAAATTTTTTTTTGCAAATTAATAAAATTTGACAAATAAATTTCAAAAGTTATAAAATCAAAAATCATGTTAGGAATTCATGAAATAAGTGCTATATTTAAGAATGTTTTATTTTATATTGATCGTCATATTGAATCCTCTGATTATCAATGTTTATAAAAAATATAGATAGATATTAAGGTTGATATTATTATTATTGTAAATTTATTTATTATACTTTCGGATTGTTTTATATTTTATTTTTGTTTCGCGGACCAAGAGAAGAAGCTTAAATTTGAATAAATATTAAAATATCCAAATAATATCGAAATATTATTTAAATATATTGTGAATCATTATAAATATGGTAGATATAAATTACTATTGTTTACAATATATATTACACTATTACAAGAGAAATGGGAACGAATTCTGATTTTTTTTCATTGGTCAAGCAATAAGAAAACCAATATGGCGACCAATGTATAAAATAAAAGATTTTTAAAATTTCAATTCTATGCATTTCTAACATTAAAATTTTTATTTTCAGATCTCTTAATTTAAAATTTATTCTAAATTTGTACCAATTTGTAAAAAAAAAATCTCATTACTTAATAAATTTCAATTGGAAACTAAAAACATATTATACTTATATTCATATACTTTTATAAAATAAGGAAGAATTTACATACATGATTTTTAATATACATATGAGATATATGGATTAGTAAAGACAAATTAAAAAAAAAATTTTTTTTTCCTATAAAATCTTATATTGGTAACAAAAACAAAGTCTATAAAACATATCTATATAAATAAATAATAAATAAAAAAATAAAAAATTTGTAAAATGTTAAATTCATCTTTACTATTCCAAATTTCTCACATATTTTTTCAGTGAATCTATTAATAAATCTATTAGGCCTAAAAATCAAAAATGCTTAATGAATTGGCACTATATTATTTCAATTTTTAGTTTTCATAATTTTATTACTGCATGGCTTGTTTGTTCCTTTCTTCCAATGTTATCAATCTTAAATGATTCTTTATTCTTCATTTACAATTTTCTTTTCTTCTACATGAATTCCTCTACATGACATGAATTCACACCAAGAAAATCCATCTTCCTCTCATTCATCTTTTTGAGTTATCATTCCCTATATCCCTACTAGAATTATAATATTAGTTTAGAAATAATTTCATGATAAATTATAATTTTATAAATAATTTGTTTTCCATTCCATAATAAATAATATAATGCATAATAATATATAATATTATTATTATATAATATAATAATAATATAATGTAATAATAATTAATATATAATTAACTACTTTAAAAACTTTTTTTATTCAAAAAAATTAATAAAAAAATGTTATCACATATAAAGAAAAAAAATATATATATATATATATATACATACATTTTATCTCAAAATTAATAATATATATATAATTAATAATAATTTAATAATATATATTAATAATAACGTTTAAAATATATAATTAATAAAATATAAAATTTACGTACATGAAAAATAATTTACATCTTATATTTCATCTATTATTATATTAATAATATAATAGTAAATTTTATCCACTTAAAATCATACTTTGGAATGTATATGCAATTGAATCTTTCTTATTTTTCAAAAAGAAAGAATTATATAGTTTTTTTAGTAGAATTCATAAGTATAGTAGCTTTATTACAATATTTGATATTAAATTCACAAGGATGTTGATACCATGGTTCACCATCAATTTGCATAGCACAAGATTTTATTATTTTTACCTGCATGTATATTTTAAAATTATATAAAATATTTATAAAAAAATATTATAAATTTTCATTATTCCTAATATTAATATTCTTGAAAATTTTAAATTACTCAAATAAATTTTATTTATGATAAAATACCTTTACACTGTTAGCTTGCCCAAGACGGTAAGGTTGAGATAATCCTACTTGAAGTTGAGCCATATGAAATGAAGAATAAAGTGCAACTATTTCTAATTTGCCATCATTGATACTTTGTTTACTATATTTTTCATGATCTATTCAATATAAAATATTTATATATTTTTAATTGTTTTATGTAGAAGGATATAAATAATAAATACCTTCTAATCCCATATTCCATAGATTAACACCAGCAGCCCATGATGGAATGTTTAATATTACAATACTTTCAATGGATGGCAAATTTATTTTTTTATCATCCAAATATAATTCTATATTTTTATTAAGATCTTTACATTCTCGTTCAACTACTTGTTGCATACCAAAGCATAAATACAATAGCTATCAAAAATATAGAAACAAATATTGTTTGCTACAATTTCTAAATAATCATTAAATAAAATAAATACCTTATTCAACAATCGACTACTATAAAAATAAAAACGACTCTTTCTTGTACGATGAAAATTTAATGTTACTTGTGCATCTACACCCACACTTAAATAATTATACATGTAGAATATTTGATGGGAACTTCTAAGTCCTAATCCACCATATGGTTTTATTATTACAGTCCATCTAAAAAAAATATTAAAATAATTATATATATTGAAAACAATTTAATAAATTATACTAAATATTCTTTACACCTATCAAGTTCCACTTTTTCTGCTACTTGTATTTCTTGTAGAATATCTTCAGGTTCCTTATTTAAATCATGCTCTTTTCCCCATCCTAATACTCTAGATAAGTCATTACCTGTTCCCAAAGGAATTATTGCTACAGATGGAATTGGCTGTTACAAATATATTTATTTTAGATCTTATTTGTTATTTTATTTATATATTTTATTTGGAATATATTTTAAAAAATTACTTTAATTTAAGAAATTATAAAATAACAAACTAAATATATAAGTATATAAATATATATAAAAAATATATATATATAAATATATATATATATACGACATACATATATATATATTTTACCTTTAGTCCCACTTTATGAATAGCATTTAATAAAGATGCTATTGTTCCATCTCCACCTGCTACAAGGAGTGTGCATGTTACTTTTCCAAGTAAACGACACCATTCAAGAATAGCAACAGCATCACATTCTGATAAATCAACAACTTGTGCAGGATTTAATAATATCCTAAACAGAGACAAAATTTCTGCTCCATCATTATTACCAGATTTTTTATTTGCTAAAAAAAATGTCGTAAGTTGGATTGTAACCATTAAAAAAATTATACATATACATATATATATATAATATATAATTATATTAAGTAAACACGTTACAAAGATACTTCCTCAAATTTTAAATAGAATTTTTTTAGTTTTTTTATGACATAAAAAATCAAGAAATTCAAAACAATAATTGAAAAAATCAAAGAAATCAATTTGTATTAGCATAATCATTGGGAATTATAATTTAGTTTAATAATTTAATTCAATTTGTAACTGATTGTATTAATGCATATTAACAAATTAATTTTTTTTTATTTAATGTAAATTATAAATTGTAAATATATTTTTTTTAAATGATTGGAATTTCCACTTTTTTTTATTTTTCTTATTACATTGAAATGAATTGAATAAAAAAAAATTTTGTTTTTTATTCAAACCTGTGAGAAGATAGCTTTTTAACGAGTTTTCTTTATATTATTATAATATTTTAATTTAATTTACCAACAACTATAAGAGGATTCCATTGAGGCCAATTTGGAGGTATAACTTTACAGAGACGTAATCTACGCCTTACAGTACTTCGTAGATTTATTACTTCTAAACTACTTGGAGGAATGATCATTAATTTAAATTTCCCAAAATCACATATCTAAACAAATTTAATAAATAATTTTTATATATTGTAAGAAATTATTTAAAGAATATAAGAACATACTTTAGAAAGTTTAGATTTGCAATCATCATGGACACACCTATGACACCAACAACACCACCAATCTGTTAATCCAGGTTCCATATCACAATCTTCATTACATATGTCACAAATAACATTTAGTGGTAAATTTCCTTATGTAAAATGAATGAAAATTAATTTAAATAACTTAATACTTTAATTTAAATAATTTAATATCATAATTTTATAACTTAATATTAAAAAAATCAAAATAAATAATTTAATTTTAAATATTATATGTATATTATGCATGATTATTTTTGGCTAAAATTTTTATCTATATAATTAAAAAAAAATGTCAGAAAAGAAAAGAAGAATATTTTAAAAATTATTTTGCAGAATCATATTTTTTTAAAAATGCAAATATATATATATATATATATATATATATGCATTCAATAATTATATATATTTTTTTAAATGAAAATGTATTTTTTTTACAGATTGATTATTCTCTTTATTTTGTACAAAAATATTGAGATAAAATGGTAGAATATATAATTTACAATTTATAATTCATAATATATAATTTATAATTTATATTTCAATAAATCTATTTATTGAAGATATTCAAATGCTTCTCCATTGTGTTTTAAATATTTCATGTAACTTTTTTCGATTATTTTCATAATTATTATATATCTTAATTTTATTTAAACTTTTAAATCTTTATAATGTGATGATAAAGAAAAAATATTTGAACATCTTCTTCAAGATAAAAATATTTATTAAAATATCTTATAAGCTATTTATTTTTTTATCACTTTATCTTAATACCTTTTTATATAAAATCATAAAAGTATTCAAAGAATGTTCAATTTATTTAAAAAAAATAATTATTGCACTTATAAAAAACTATGATTCTGTAATATTTAAATCATTCATTATTCTTCTTGATATTTTTCTTTAACATATCGATAACAAAGTTATGATTAAACATAGTTGTTTAGATATATTTGCTTATATATATCCTATATAATATAATATGTATGCAAAAATAAAAAAATAAAATGTACCTTTTATCCAATGATGATTCATTGGTTCATTTATATTTGCAGTAATAATTTTACATTTTAATTGCTTATCTGCAATCTTAACACATGTAGGATCAGCACAAACTCCACATGAATCACAGATTAAACCACTAATATTTAACAACAAGTTTTCACAAATACTACAATAATATGCCTATAAATAAAAGCAGAATTTTTAACTATTATATATTTATATAAAAAATATAAAATATATATTTATATAAATATAAAATATATATTTATATAAAAAATATATAAAAAATATTACATCACTATATTATATAATGTTATGTAATATATATAATATATAATATAATATAATATATATAATATAATATAATATAATATATATAATATATAATATATAATATATAAATATTTATAAATCACAATATTCATAAATCATTTCTAAGATCAATTTTGGTCAAAACAAACACGAAAGTTGATATATGAAAATAAGATTTATTTATAGACTTATTATAAATAATTGAAGTTTGTTAAATGAAATTTGTTAAATGAGATAAAGACAAAGTAACAGTAATGTGATAAAAATAAAACTGTTTCTCTTTATTTATTTATATTTTACTTCATCTAATAATATAATATAAATTTAAATTATTTATAGTTTAATAAATTTTTATATATAATTAGTACATTTTTGTACATCAATTTTTGTTTGTTTTGAGAATCTTTCTAAAATTATTCCATGAATATTAATATCTTATTTATATATTATAATTGTACATTTATTATTTTAAATAATAGTGCTATCCAAAATGAGCATTAGTTCTTTGAATTTGGATGATGCAAATCACATGCAATATTTTATTCTAATTGATTCATAACTTACTTTCATAAACAATAACATATCTGTATTGATTATTAAATTAATATAATATAATGTAAATTAACTAAATTAGTTAATATGAAAAGAATATGAAAATATATATCTTATATATATATAAATTTACCTTGTTTTCTTTTTTAATAGATTTCCAGTTATGCTCTTTTGTAACATCTCTAATGTGAATATACGATTCTCTTGCAAGATATTGAAAAAAATTTAATATAAGTACGAAAAATATAATAAAAAATGTACATAAAATACTAGTAGTAACTCCGTCTTCTAACATGTTATCACATAAATTTTATTTCTTCTAAAATTATCACAATTCTTCATAAATTATTAAATATATATACGTGTATATATTTAATATCACATATCTTTTATATATTTCAAATTTTTATACTAGAAAAGTTTTTTTTTGTATAATTCAAAATAGTTTGAATCTTCTTTTTTGTTTCAGTTGCACTAAGAAAAAATATAAATATAAATATATATTACACTGAATCAATGGAACTAAATCACGTGACAAATGCTGCGTCTTCAGCTATTAATTGACGAAATGATAGTATCAAGATCGATTTATTTACATATGTTACTGCGTACTTGCATCGATAAAACTTTTATTATATTAATTATTTATTTGTTGAATTTTTATCTCAGAAGTAATTTATATTTATTATTTATGTTTATATTGATAATGAATGGTATACGAATTTAATATATGAAGAAATAATATTCTAAATTAAATTTTTATTTGGAGCACTAAAATTTTTTAAACTCTTTTTTGTTTTTATAGATTTGACATATAGAATCTCGAAAATAATAGTTATCGCAAGTCATTTTAAAAGTGATTTTAAAGTTTTCTAATAATTGGTGCTTTAAAATCTAATATGATTTTATGTTTAGAAGATAAAAACACTAATTAAAAAATTCCATGTGATATAATTAATATTCTAATATATATTGATACATACAATTCAATGTAGATTTTTCATTCGAAAGAAAATTTGAATTTGATGCATATTGATGTTTCTATCAATTGATTATATAAAAAATTAACATGATATTATAAAATTCTTTAAATGAAAGATTATTTAAAATTATCGCGTTCTCAAATTATCCAATCAGATTGGGTAAAAATCCAATATGGCGTTATATTATAAAAAATAATATAAAATATATTATAATTTATAAAAATCCCTAAAAATGCGAAACTGCATATAATTAATTTTTAAATAATTAAAATTATTATTTTTAAATTCTGCATATCGAAATTTATAAAAATGCATAAAGAAGTTAAAAAATTTTAATTGTTTAAATTAATATTTAGTGATAGTTATAAAATATTAATGAAAATAATAAAATATATCTGTAAATTATAGAATGTTTTATTACATTTGTTACCAAGTTAAAATGTAAAAATTACTTTTCATTCACAGTAACTTTATACTATATCTTGTAGTACATTAGAAATTACTTTAAGTTTGCAGTTAAATGTTCCAATTTCATATTAATTACCTTGCTAGACACAATTGGAACAAGTGAAGATTTATCTTTACAAAAATAGGAATTACAATGGCAGGTTTTATAAAATTAGTAAAAAATGTTTATTATGATCCTTTTAAGTGGTATGTAATAATAAATTTTTTTTTATGTTTTACATAACCTAAATTTTATGAACAAAAATTGAGTAACATATTATTGTTTATTAAAATTCACAATTATTATTTAATTAAATAAATAGATGAAGTACATTCCAAATAATTATGCACAATCTTTTATTTACAGGTCAGTAGTTAAAAGCATTGGATTATTTGTATTAGGTGTAAAAATTGCTGTTGAATGTAAAGGAATGAATGTAATGCCACCAATTTCTTAGAAATTAAAATGTAGGAGCTAAAAAAAAAAAAAAATAGAAAATATTAATGTATTTGTCTTATTGTACATGTGCATATATATTTTATTATTTCCATATAAAAAATATTAAAATAAGCAAAATATATTTGTTTTATCTTATTTCCTTGAATTATTTATTTATTTATTATATAATCATTAATAATATATCGGCATTATTATATATTATTATAAAAAATATAAAACTTTTAACTATATAATTATATATTATACATTATACACATTAATGGAACATTATATATATTAATGTTCCATTAAAATCAATCTTTTTAAAGACTTTTTTATTGGAAAAGTTCTAAATAAAAGTTGAATGATTTAAAAAAGCATATATTATGAATATAAATAATTGTTATATATCTTTCACATCATTGTTATTTATAGCAAGACATTATTATTTTAGAAGATATTTTAAAAATATCTATTTTAAAAAGATATTTTAATTTTGTAAAAGTAAAAAACATCTTTACTTCTTTATTATTTTTTATATATTAAATTTTATAAAATTAAAATTAAAATATTTACTGAACTTATGATTCCTTATTATAAATAATTTAGTATTTTTTTTTATAAAAAATGACAAGTTTTATGTAATTTCATTTAAAAATTCAAAATTAACAAGCAAATAATGTTATATTGTTTAATTTATATATAAAATCTTATATGCAAAAAATAGAATTTTGCCATTTTTCTTAAATTTATCAGTTAAGATTAAAATATTCAAATACAAAAAAAATCCATATATGTAACTATGTTTCTAATAATTTTATATAATTATATTAAATAATTAAAAATTTAGGAAAAATAATTTAAAATATTAAAAAGATTAAAAATCTTAAAATGAAAAATAATTACATATAAATGTATAATATATATGTATACAATGTTTACTATATATATACTTATATTTCGGATATTTCACATAAAATATACAAAAAATGATTTCTCTAAAACTATTACAAATCTTAATATGATTATTATTAGAATTAATAAATAAATAATAAAAATTAATATATCATTCCATTTAAAGAATGAAAGTGACAATTGTTTTATCTTCCAAAATCTTTTTTAAAATTTAAAAAAAAATTACATCAATATTTATGAAAGTTTTAGAAAAAACAATTTGTAACATTTTATATAAAACATTTTGTATAAAGTACATATGTATATTCACAAAAGAATAAAAATTTTATATAATTTATGTTTTTTACATATGAACTAATAATGCTTTACAAATAAGACATACATCCTTCAGAATGTAATACATTTTTCAAAATTTCTCAATATAATTGAAGCTTATATCTTTATAAATTTATTGTCAAATATTTCATTTAATAAAACAATCATTTAATTAATTTCTTACTTATTTTATTTTGCTGTTACATATAAAATAAGTAAAAAAATATTTAATTATGAAATATAATAAAGTTGTTTTTTAATGCTAATCTATAGTTTATGTTGTGTAATATATTTAACTATATTTATTATTAATTACTGTATAAATAAACAAATGTAATTAATTTTGTTTCTTATTCTTTTAAAACGCTACATAACATTTGTACATAACATTCTCTTATAAATGATTATTTTTTAAATTATATAATATATATTAATATCATTAAAATATCGTTAATTCATTATTATTTCAATTATATTTATTAAGTAAATCTGCATAATTTGGATTTTATATGTTATTTACATGACTTTGCTTCCTGTTTTAATACAAAAAGATTATTATGAAAATTATATATAAATCGCATATTGAATAAACAAAAAAGTGAACTTTTGAAAAAATAATTTTTTAAACAAAAGTTACATATATTCTGTTTTATAATATATTTCAAATTATAGTGCATTAATGAATAATAAATGATTGATGGAAATAGATATAGAGAATTGATTAAATAATTTTGATACATTACGAAGTTACATTAAAGATTATGTAACATATTATAATAAAAATATTTGTATACTATGCTGATTATTCAACTTCAGGAATATCTAAAATATGTTCAACAAATTCAGCAACATTTGTTTCCTTATTGGCATGTTCTGTGATAAAATCAAGTTTCAATAATTGATTATAATTTGGACGGGCAATATAATCTTTCATTAAACTGAAAAAATAATCATTAATTGAACTATATTATAATGAATTTAAAATAATAATAAAGACAATTAAATTTACCATTTATTGATAAATTCTTCAAAACTAGCCGAAAATTTACCAGCTGGTAATTTGGGCGCTTCATCCTTTACAACTTGTTTTAATTGTTCAAAAGGTGTACCCCAAGATTCATAAGGAAATTTTCCTGTTGCTAATTCAACAAGAGATATACCTAACGACCAAACATCAGATCTGATGTCATATTGTGAAGGGTTACCTAATGGGTCTATCCTTTCTGGCTGAAAAAAAGGTCATGATGGAGAATTTATTGAATAAACTTATTGAATAAATTTATAGATATAAAAATTTATAATATACAAAATTTCTAATTAGATAAATTATATATTTCACAAAAACAATATCTAAAAAATTTGTAACTAATATTGAAGTAAAATAAAAATATTAATTAAAAATAACAAATAAATTTTTATTATTTTTGATTAATTTATTCACAAAATTCATTTAATTTTGTTAAAAAAATGTTTAAAAATTACGTACAGCCATATATGGTTTACAACCAGCATCAATAGTTTTGGCAACAGAATCTACAAGGTATCCAGAAATACCAAAATCACAAATCTTAACTTCTCCTTTTCGATTAATTAAAATATTACTAGGTTTTACATCTCTATGAATTACTCGCAACTGTGAATACAGGTAATGTAATGCACTTACTACCTATAATTTTTGAAATTAAAATTATAATTAATATTACAATAAATATTATAATGAATTAATTAATAATTATTTTATTTTTTTTTTGTTTTCTTACTGCAAAGGCAATTTTTCCTAAAATATCTTCAGGAATGGCATGTCCATGTTTATACACTTTCATATAAAATTTATCCAGACTCATATCCATGACTTCCATACATATCCAAACATCTCCTTCTCTAAATAATGCTCCATAAAATTGTACTGTATACTGGCATGCTGAACTACGCATAGAAATATCTAAATCCATAAGTAAACGCTTTTGTTCCTGTGTATTAACTGTTGCAGTTATTCTCTATAAAATAGATCAAATAATTGAATTATAAATATCAACATATATATATATATATATATATATATATATATATAAATACATTATTACCTTAACTGCCATAATAGTACCACTTTGTTTATGTCGTACTTTATCAACAATACCATATGCTCCACGTCCAAGAATACAGATTGTTTCTAAATCATCTGCTTCTACTACAAATGTTTTATCACCTATAGTTATTGTAGTTCTTTTATCTAAATTTCTTGGTGGTGTGCTACAATATATATAATACAAATATAGAATTTATTATCTTAATATATAATAATAATAATAATAATAAAATCTATTTATTAACAATGTTTGACAAATTATAATATATTTCTTATTAATAAATAATAACAATAATAATAACATTAATTATATCATTTAAAACAAACACATATAATAAATAACATATATTGCTAATATAATAATTTTGATGATTGATAATTTAATAATATTACATACACAGGTGCAGGTGTCTCTTCAGAAACCTGCAATTTCAAATTTCTTTTTCCACGACGTACAGCCATACTTCAATAGAAAATTGATAAATAATATTAAGTCTGCAAATGTCGCAGTACATGCAATTGAATATAATACATATTCAAAAAAATTGTAATAAGTGACAGATAGATATTCTGTAAAAAATATATATATATTTAATTTATGTATAGGAATAAAAATACTAGTTTAAAAAAAGCATTGAAAAGTGAAGGTTATGGTAAAAATTTATCGTAAACAAATGTGAATAAATTAATGGATAAAATTTTGAAAATACATTATTTTGAAAATAACTATATTGTGAGATCATTAAAAGATAATTTTCATAATACCTTATAAATAACATGATAATATTGTAAAACAATAATGATAAGATTCCAAATTTCCGTTGCCCATATATGAAGTTTTCAATAAATTCCGATACTTGCTTGAAATTGCTCACAAAAGCTAATTCAGTTTCAATTCATTTAAGCTTTTTATAAACTGAATGATTTATTTCATACATTTCAGATATAGTATAAAACTTTTAAAAAAAGAATTATAATATTTTGTTTAAAAATTTCATGATACAATAATACATATATAATATAAATCATTTAATAAATTATAAATAAAATTAAAATTATTTATATAATATGAAATATTGAATACTTAATCTTAAAGTCACATTCATATGAATTTTCTAAATATGTTTATAAAGTTTTATTTCAACTTTATAATATATCAATATATATATATATATATATATATATTATATATTAAATTCATAAAATTCTGAAATGAAATTAATTAATAATATTTTTAATAACTAGAAAATTTATAAAACAATGAAAAATTTATTTATTAAATAAAAATTTAATTTACAATATTTATTTAAAAATATAAAATTAATAAAATACTTTCATAAATAGAAATTCTTTATCAAAAATAACAAAGAAATTAATTTTGTATTTAAAAAATCATAATAATTAATGCTTTGTAAATGAAATATAATGAAAAAATATATATATATATATATATATTATGATATTTCAATATTTGTGCTATATATTAAGTAAATTAATTTAATAAAAATTTTATAAATCAAAATTAAATAGTTTCAAATTAAATGAAAAATTTTTAAATTAATTTAATTTTTTTATATAAAGTACATTATTTTATATATCAAACGATATATCATTTAAATATTACAAAATTGATATATTTAATGATATTTTTATTTGAAAACAACTTAAAATATTATGATTATTTAGTAAAATAATAATGGAATTTACTTTTCTATATTTTTGTATATTGTTATTTATTTAAAAATAGAATTTATTTAAATAGAATTAAAAATAGAATTAATGTTAAAATATAATATGATATAATATATAAATATATATAATAAATATAATATATATAATATATATAATATATATGAAAATATACATTATTAGTGAAAAATAATTTAATATAAGTTTAAAAAGAAAAACATATATAAGTTTATATAGTTATGAATCATTTTTATTATGAATAAATATTTAGAAATTTTAACATATAATTTATTAAAAAATAAAAATAATAATTTTAAATTTGTTTAAAATTGTTTAAAGATGTTAAAATATTGAATTATATATTTAAAAAGATTTTTTTTAATTAAAATTATTATTTTAACCTCTAACATAAATAATAAAATTAATATTAATAATAAAATATAATAATATATAATTGATTTACATATAAATATATATCTATTTAGAAATTATAGAAAATTATTTAAAATTAATATAAATAATGATAAGTATATAAATTATTTGAAATTTATGTATATAAATAGAGAAATTTCAAAATACAAAAATACATCTAAAAATATTATAAAAACAAATTAATTTTAATTTTTATACTTAAAATATTTAAAAAATATTTATTTGATTTTTTATTGTTAATATTAAAAAAATATTAATTATTTAATTGTCCAATAATCCAATAATTGTCCAAATATAATATTGTAAAAGATTATTAAATAAAATTATTGACAAAATGCCTATAACGCATGCGTTACTGGATCAGCTGGTTTCGTTACATATAAAAAGTATATATAAAATGTACATTTTTCCTCCAAAATCGTATTATTTGTTACGTGATATTTCCTTTAAAATGATTTTTAATATAATACGATAGATGATATGCAATAAATTTATGGATAATTCAATCTTTTTTATATTGGAACCATCTTAATTGTACCACGTCAGATTTTTGGTGCGTAGTAATTGTTATAGTAGTGATGGTTATAAAAGGGGTTATGAACATGGTGATAGAAGCGGTGATAATAGCGGTAGCGGTAGTAACGGCGGTAGTGACGATAGTATAGTGGTAAAGTGATGATACATTTGTACATTTATAAAAATATCCATTTATTGACAGTAAAATTTTTGATGAGAAGAGTAATGTAAGCATTTAAAGAAATGAAGATTTATATTACGTACGTGTATCAGATATTACTTTTTATATCAGTTGCTTCCAGGTAAGTATTTTGTCTTTTTTCCTCATGAACAATTTACATACATGTGTAATCAAATTATGAAAAATGAAAATTTTTAATAAAAATAATTATTTGCATTCTTTGTATTTTTATAATATTAATCAATTGCTTTTTATTTTTATATATAAAAAAAGAAATTTAAGATGAAAATTTGAAATATAACATATTTTTTGCTTATATTTTGATTACATACTTTTTATTTTCACTAAGATATTTTAATATTTTTCTTTAATATTTTAATATAAAAATATTTAATTTAAAGATAAAAAAAAATATGTTAAGTTTTTTTTTAACAAACTATATACAAATAATTTACAAATAAATAAAAATAAATGTTATATGAAATTTATTGCAAATATTCTTTTATGATGTCATAAAATTAAGTGTAAAATGTATATTAAGTTATGCAAAATTTAATAAAAATATTTTAGAATAGTTTATATAAGAAAAGATTTAATTTTATTTATATCATGTTTTTTTTGAAAAAAATAATTATTAAAAATACATTGTATAGTATTATAATAAAATTATTTTTATAAATAATAAAATTATCTTTCTAAAAATCATATATAATATTTATAATTTCAAATTATTTATTGTTTTAAAATAAGATTTATATCTTTTTATATTATAAAATAGAAAAAAAAAATATTAAAAAATATTATAAGATATTGATTTTAAAAAAATTATCATTTTTGTAATATAATATTAATTTTTTTTTATCTAAAAAACAAAACAGATAATCTATCTACATTTATGATGTTTAGTATTTTGTATAGTTTTTGTATTATATATATATTAATACAAAAATAATATATATATATATATATATATATGTAGGCATAGGAAATAATTATTATTCTATTATTATTCTTATCAAATAATAGCAAAACAAAAATTATCATATCAAAAATATGAAAATAAAAAAACTTAATATTATTAAGATATTATTTTTAATTTTGATTTATTTTATTTTAAGAAATAAATAAAATTATCTTTTTTAAAAGATTTTATATATTTTTTAAAAGATTTTAATTAAATGAAACAACAATATTATATGTTTCAATTTTGGATAATTTATCTTGTATAATATTAAATATTAATATTAATTATATATCTTTCTTTTTATTTTGTTTTATTAATCCATATGTTAACATATTTAATATAATGAATTTATCAGAAAAAGATGGATAAAAAATAGAATAAAAAATAATAGTACATTAAATAGAGAATGATTCTTTGTAAAAAATAAGTAAAAAATTTATCATGAAATTTTTATATAAAGCTTTATTTCCAAGAAAATTGATTTATTGATAATTATTATTGATTGATAATTCATCAGATATATATTATATATATGTAAGTAAATATATTATGTATATAGCTGAGAAATATTCAGCTCCCTTCTTATTCACCTACATGAGATGCTATTATGATTTTGTTTGTAGATATGAGGCCAATATCTATGCCTATTTTATTATGATTTCCCTTTATCACAAATATCCATTGAAACCTGCATTCCTTTCAGAGGACTTCTTCTCAATAATCTATAGTAAGAGTATTTCTTTATATTATTTGTGATTGAATATGAGTTGGCTATAATAATTCTTTTATTGATAATGAATATTTTTTTCCATATTATTAAAAATGTTGATACTAATATAATTCAAATGATACAACAGGTTTTTGCAGATTATTTGTGTTTTTATTATTTTTATTGTTGGAAATGTTATCCCTGTTGTTGCATATATAATTCAATATTTTAAATTAAAGAAAAACTAATGGACTCTAATATGTTTTCGCTTTTTAATTTTTCAAATTCTTGCATGATTTTTTGTTTCAGTTGTATAATATTTTCAACATCTTTTTATACCTGCTGTTTGATATGCTCTCATAAGTGAAAATCAAGGGGTTAAAATGTGGCGATTAGAAGGTACTGTACCAACGCGATTGATTTAACACAAATAATTTTAATCTCAGAACTTATAACTGATCTAAATTATGACAGTGCTCTATTTTGTTAAATTAAATAGTTTCTCATCAATAAAAGTACTTTTTTTGATACAGAACATTCATTGCTATATGTTTATAAATCATATATTTGATAAATTTTTAAAATCTATTTTTTTGGAAATGAAGCCTTAGAAAACAAAATTTTATAATAAATTTTTTACTTAATTCTTTATATAAAAAATAGCTTTTTTTACTTATATTATGATTTTCATTTCATCCTGATCCTTTACATTAATACAACATTAATACAATTGATGCTATATATAAATTATTTATAAAAATATAAGTTAAATTTATTTCATAATATATATTTTTAAATTTTTATTTCTTGTTTTAAATATAGTTTATTACAAAATAAATGCAAATATTTATGCTGAACAATTCATGCTTTTTATTATTTTCATATAAAAATAATTTTTTAAAAGTTTTATAAAATTTTAGATTGATTAAATTTATGATATTTATTATTATATTTAGATTATTATATATTTATCTTTGTTTTAAGATGATTTTATTTTATTTTTCAAAATAAAATAAGAAAAATATATTTTTTCAAATTAATTTAAAGCTTGTCCTTTTTATTATTTAATACTTTTTTTATTTACAGTGCACTTTTATTTATCATAGTAGCTTCTGAAAATGCACAAACCAGTTATTACTCTTCTTTTAAAACAAATGAAACATCTGAAACTGATAATAATACGGAGTTAATAAACAATATGGAAGTTGATAATTTAGATACAACTATACCAATTACTGAACTATACGATCTACACAAATTAGAAGTAAGGATTAAAATAAAGTATGTTATAAATATAATAAAATATTAAAATGTTAAATATTACGTTAAATAAACTATTATATTAATTTCTATTTATAAAATATATATCTATGTAAAAATATTTAATATATATTTATAAATTTAGGAAAAATATATTGAAGAATCTACAAACTTTGAACCTATCATAAATGGTGAAGCAGGAAAAAAAGAGAATTCTTATAAA